TACCAATCTATATCTAATGAAACAAGTGATTTAGTATACGAAGACCTTTTAGTAGTACTTTTAAAATATTCCTTCGAAATTTTATCGATATGTATGAGAGTCTGGGTGGATTTTACAGAATATATAGAGAAAAATGGGCAAAAAGTGCAGAATAAAATCAATAAAAGAATAGGCAAAAATAATAAAGAATAGAGAATAATTGGGTGCTGAAATATAAAGAAGAGAAAAATTGGGTGCTGAAATATAAAGAATAGAGAATAATGGTATAAAAATTAAAGAATAAAAAAATGAAGCCCCCCCCCCCCCCCCCCCCCCCCCACACACACACACACATTCGTGTACATTGGTCTAATGTTCTACTGCTGACCGCACTGCCCCTTCGCCCTTATTTTTGCCGATGGGCACCTCTGCATGCATGTCCCTTGTTTTAAACAATAACCTCGCTGTAATCTGTTAAAACGATATATTTAAGAATTGTATTAGAGGTTGAATATGTGTATTTGATTAGTTTTAGGGTCTTGATGGGGTCTCCAATTATTTATATATTCATTAATTTATGAAGCCATTTTTCTCTATTCTTTTAATCTTAACTTTGTCCATTATTCTCTATTCTTTATATTTCAACACCCCATTGGGCCAAAACTAAAATTAAAATTGTTTGATGTTGCCTACCTACCCACCTAAAAAGAAGCCTAACCGGAAAAAAATTATGACACAAATCGTTTCAAATTTTTTTCGTGCTCTAACGTCGTTTTCTTGTCTAAAACATGTTACTTATAATTGTTGGTCAAAAAAAAAAATAAAATCCTTACTTACCTACCTAACACTACAAGGCATGGGTAGCGGCAACATCAAACAAAGAATTTGTTAAGGATGGCCTTATTCTCTATTCTTTTTTTTTTGTTTTACCCTTTATTCTGTATTTACCCCCATTATTGTATACATGTATTCTGTATTTACCCCCATTATTGTATACATGTATTCTGTACTTACCCCCATTATTGTATACATGCATACTGTATTTACCTCACACACATTATTGTATACATGTATTCTGTATTTACCTCACCCCCATTATTGTATACATGTATACTGTATTTACCCCCATTATTGTATACATGCATACTGTATTTACCCCCATTATTGTATACATGTATACTGTATTTACCCCCATTATTGTATACATGTATTCTGTATTTACCCCCATTATTGTATACATGTATTCTGTATTTACCCCCATTATTGTATACATGTATTCTGTAAACCCATTCCAGACCCTTATATACCAAAACACCAACAAGGTTTACAACCTGTTTCTTCATAAAGTAACCAGTTATTATTCTGAGTAAAAGTTTGCGTAAAAAACACTGTCGAAAGATCTACATGCATGTTTCCTTAAAATGAGCAATACTTTATGATCTTAAGTCAAAAACTGAAAAAAAGTTCTGGTTATAACAAGTTTTGAAAAAAACTCGTCTCCGCCTAGTGATGACCTGTCATACCTGTATATTCTGTGCAAGATGACTGCTAAATTCTGCAATATTCAAGAAATATACTTGCAGGACTCTGAACAGCGATGGTACTCCCAACAGCGATGGTCACGCTGAAATACGATGGTTTGATCCTGAAGTGCGTTTTTTATCACGCTGTTCAATACGATGATGGCATTGTGTCGCTATCTTGATAACTTGCATATCTGTAGATTTTAAACTAGCAATCACGCGTCATTATAGACCATCGCACATCAGCGAAAGAACCATCACACTTCGGCGAAGATCATCGCACATCAGCGAAAGAACCATCACACTTCGGCGAAGACCATCGCACATCATCGAAAGAACCATCACACTTCGGCGAAGACCATCGCACATCAGCGAAAGAACCATCACACTTCGGCGAAGATCATCACACATCAGCGAAAGAACCATCACACCGGTGAAGACCATCGCACATCAGCGAAAGAACCATCACACTTCGGCGAAGATCATCGCACATCATCGAAAGAACCATCACACTTCGGCGAAGACCATCGCACATAATCGAAAGAACCATCACACTTCGGCGAAGACCATCGCACATCATCGAAAGAGCCATCACACTTCGGCGAAGACCATCGCACATCATCGAAAGAACCATCACACTTCGGCGAAGACCATCGCACAACATCGAAAGAACCATCACACTTCGGCGAAGATCATCGCACATCAGCGAAAAAACCATCACACTTCGGCGAAGATCATCGCACATCAGCGAAAGAACCATCACACTTCGGCCAAGACCATCGCACATCAGCGAAAGAACCAACACACTTCGGCGAAGATCATTGCACATCATCGAAAGAACCATCACACTTCGGCGAAGACCATCGCACATCAGCGAAAGAACCAACACAATTCTGCGAAGACCATCGCACATCATCGAAAGAACCAACACAAAAGAACCATCACACTTCGGCGAAGATCATCGCACATCAGCGAAAGAACCATCACACTTCGGTGAAGATCATCGCACATCAGCGAAAGAACCATCATACTTCGGCGAAGACCATCGCACATCATCGAAAGAACCATCAAACTTCGGCGAAGGCCATCGCACATCAGCGAAAGAACCATCACACTTCGGTGAAGATCATCGTACTTCATCGAAAGAACCATCACACTTCGGCGAAGACCATCGCACATCAGCGAAAGAACCAACACAATTCGGCAAAGACCATCGCACATCATCGAAAGAACCAACACAAAAGAACCATCACACTTCGGCGAAGATCATCGCATATCAGCGAAAGAACCATCACACTTCGGTGAAGATCATCGCACATCAGCGAAAGAACCATCACACTTCGGCGAAGACCATCGCACATCATCGAAAGAACCATCAAACTTCGGCGAAGGCCATCTCACATCAGCGAAAGAACCATCACACTTCGGTGAAGATCATCGTACTTCATCGAAAGAAACATCACACTTCGGTGAAGATCATCGCAAATCAGCGAAAGAACCAACACAATTCGGCGAAGACCATCGCACATCATCGAAAGAACCAACACAAAAGAACCATCACACTTCGGCGAAGACCATCGCACATCAGCGAAAGAACCATCACACTTCGGCGAAGACCATCGCACATCAGCGAAAGAACCATCACACTTCGGCGAAGATCATCGCACATCAGCGAAAGAACCATCACACTTCGGCGAAGATCATCGCACATCAGCGAAAGAACCATCACATTCGGTGAAGACCATCGCACATCAGCAAAAGAACTATCACACTTCGGCGAAGATCATCGCACATCAGCGAAAGAACCATCACACTTCGGCGAAGATCATCACACATCAGCGAAAGAACCATCACACTTCGGTGAAGATCATCGCACATCAGCGAAAGAACCATCACACTTCGGCGAAGACCATCGCACATCAGCGAAAGAACCAACACAATTCGGCGAAGACCATCGCACATCAGCAAAAGAACCATCACACTTCGGCGAAGATCATCGCACACCATGTCAGGATTATGACAGTTGTTTTTCATTCGTTTGATGTGTTTGAGCCTTTGATTTTGCCATCTGATAAGGGACTTTCCGTTTGGAATTTTCCTTGGAGTTCGGTATTTTTGTTATTTTACTTTTCATGCAACGTGACATTCAGCACTTCAGCGTCCCCAAAGCACCTCCGAGTCCTACATATCTACTGAGAAATGGTTAATTATTGTGGTCATTGACGGAAATGTTAAAGGATGAGAAAGCTGTTTGTTTTCAAGTATCTATACTTTCGGTTCATACAATACTTATCATGTTTTTCGGTCTAAAACACTCGTTCTAGTGTTGCTTTCACCGAAACCCGGATATTTCTAGTGTTGCTTTTATCGAAGCCGGATATTTCCAGTGATTGAAGATGATACGCAAGTTTTATTACCTGGAACAGGAATGTTAAGTGAAATTTTATACATAACAAAAATAGTTCACCCTTCGTATGTTTTTTTTTTTATCTTTAGCATGCACGAAAGATTTAACGGTCAAGGAGTGACCTTGACCTTTGGAGCAAGCAACAATCAATAATAAAACCGAATATTATATTTATAGAAAAATAATTTCCTTTTTTAAAATTTTCATTTCAGAAAATGCACTCGAAATCTGACTCTAACCAAATTGAAATAGACCGAGCGTGAAGTAATGAGTCAGGGGAAAGCACACGTCAGTCTAATTCTCGTTGGGCTATATATATTTCGACTGTTGATCTTGCATACAGAAAAGTAACCCGAATAATGCAGTCGTTATATTCCGCTCACTACAACTGGCCCGCCATTCCATCTAAAGCTTCGCACCGAAGGTTAGTGTAGCGATAAGTGAACACAACAGGGGTCCAGTTTACTCACTACGATCACATCATGGAGGACACTGACCGTAAGAGGGCACTGTATTATTCGAGTTAACAGAAAAGATACTACGACAGAACATTATAACCCAAATAATCCAGTCATAATATTCCGCTCACTACGATAACTGAATGGAGTACACTCGAATATTCCAGTTATTAACGGAGGACACTGAACGTAAGAGGTGCTGAATTATTCTCGTCTCGTTTGTATTATAAACAAATAAGCGCAATTTCTTTCCTCTTTTTTGCAGATGTATAAAAATAAGGAGATGTGGTATGATTGCCAATGAGACAACAATCTAATTAAAATATAGATCTCGGATTTCGTTATACTACGTTATACTACATACGAAGTAGTATAACGTAGTATAACGAAATCCGAGATCTATATTTTAATTAGATTGATGAGACAACTATCAATCAAAGTTAAAAAAAAGTGGATGTAAGTTATTATAGGTAACCTTACGGCCTTCAACAATGAGAAAAATCTATATCGTATAACCGACATGAATTATTATCATTTTTTTTTAAATTCTTTAAACTTTAATTACAAATCAATAATTTCAAATTGAATTCAAGTTTTAATCGAAAATAATTAAAGTGAAGTTGCGTCCTTGAATATTTACATGGATTGCTTCCGGGTCTATGTTCCGGATTAGGATATCGTGGTTAATATATATACGGGAAAGTTAGTAAATTATTTGTTGTGGGAAGTTTCCTTAATAAACAATTTTAAAATATTATTTCATATTTAAAATGCAGACCAGTACTGAAAATTGTTTATGAAAAGACTGCGTAAGTCAGGTAAGCAGAATTTTAGATAAAAGAAGAACATATGATATATTCGGCGGTCTTTTTCACGATCAAAATTATACATTTGTGTTTTAAAATTTATTTCGTTAGACCACCATAAATGTTGTCTTATTTCATTCATGAAATCCTAAAACACTTTCTTATAAAAATCGTAATAATTAAGTTAGTTTTCGGTATGTTTCAATGTGATTTTAATGAAGCAACGAATAACAGCATTTGTAGTACGATGGGCGCATTACGTTTGCGCGCATTTGGTGATTAAATTTTTTTACATTTGCGCGCAGCTTTTTATTACATTTTCGCGCATTCATTTTACAGGTAACAGAGGTAAAAATATAGATAATTCTTAAGAAATGTGACTATAGCTATTAAGAATTTTGAACGTATTTGTAAATTTGTATTCTATATTTTTTCATATTGAATTCTAAAAAAATCAAAAGTGATCATAGCTCAAGACAAACATATAACTTAATAGCGAAGAATTTAGAGTAAAAAGTGTGCTGTTTCCTAATTTTACCGAATAGTGATCGCTGTAGTATATAATTTAAGTCAGTTTGTAAAGTTGCATCAAGGCACAATTATGGAGTTTCGTTTGTCAGCCACAAATCGGGGGACATATCATTAGTGTACGACGGATTTACTCTTCGTATCGACAGAACACATAAGTGAGGGGATATTTTATGACGATGCACAGTATATAATTGAAAACGTATTTCAACAGATTCCCTTTTTCCTCCAAGTCTTTGAGCATCACTCTGACCGTTAGCAGAATCCATGCGTACTACAAACGTTCCGGAATCATTCCATGCTCACTCTCTATATATATATATATACAATGAGCAATTGTATTCAGCACATCAATTTATTTTTGTGTTTTGTATTTTCTTAAAGCAGTGGGGCTTCCAATATTCAGCACGGTACGACATAAAATCAGTACTTTTAATCTTTAGATTTGCTATGTTTTTTTTTACATTTTTATATGTATATATTTCCAGGACTAAGTGCTTGTGCATAAAATAACGGAACTTATCCTGCTAAAAAATAATAGTTAAGTAAATATAATCTACTTGTATTTAGATATAGGAAGATGTGGTATGAGTGCCAATGAGACAACTCTCCATCCAAGTTACAATTTATAAAAGTAAACCATTATGGGTCAAGGTACGGCCTTCAATTTTACCTGAGTTTATTTGTGAAAAAATGCGCGCAAATGCAATCAAAACCTGCGCGCAAACGTAAGGATTTTTGCGCGCAAATGTGATGCACCGAGTGCATTGTCACAACATCGAACGGTAAAGAACGTGGTTATTTGTAGGTATTGTTATGTATTGCCTCCTTTCGATTAGAAAACAAATAGAATACGCAGATATGTCTCAGTAGTGCACACAATGCGATTTTAGATACAAGCTTGGAATTAAGTGAGTTTTCAGTTTGAAGGCCGGTGGTGAATACGATCGGTTTATTTTGGATTATCTCCCATTTGTAAATCGATACAAATATCCAATAATCAACCTGTTTTACAGTAAATTTTACCTAAATCATATATTATGCGTACGAATCATTGTTTAAAGTCCTTGAGATATGGGGGTATACAACTAATCAATCAATGTTACAGCATAGATATAATAGCCAGTATATCTATGCATGCATGTTACAGAAAACCATCAACCGAAATAATATCTTAAGGTCAGAGTAGTACGATTTCACTAAGCAGATGCCGCGATCCAGGATTTTAAAAAGGGGGCAGCAAGACAACGTTAGGAGAAGGACTTTTAAAAAGTCTATATTAATCAAAAATGAAGCTCCATAAGGGGTGTGGGGCTCCTGGCGCCCCATAAATCCGCATCTACTAAGTAACCGAAAAATAGCTTTCCACGCCATTGGACCACGAGGGGGTCTCTTCCTATATGAAGGTATATACATATGTGCAGCTGGAATGGGTCCCTTTTTTGATACGTCAAATATAACAATGGGGTGCAATTTTACCGAGGAAATATATCAATAGGTAGTAATTGACCAATTGTAATATATCAATGGGTCATAATTTTTCAGTTTGTTGTGCAACGATGTTCACTGAATTTCCCAAACTCTTTGTCATTAAAATTTCCACAGCTGCTGAAACTTATTGACACAAGTTTTGTTATTGATCAAATTTTATTACACTGTCACAATTAATAATCTTTACCCACTAGAGTATAGTAAAAAAAAGTCACATATCGAACCTTTTGCACTTATTGAATATATGAATGGGTTATGATTTCGCTGTGAAATATATGTATAGGGATTTCACAATATTTCAATATATGAATGGGGGGTGTTTTTTTAAATCCTAGCTGCACAACTGTACCCAAAATCCCATGGTGAGACCCCCCCGTGCATTGGACTTTAATTGGTGGAAAGTTGTCATTGGCAATCATACTACATCTCCTTATTTTTATATTTAGACTGAATCTTGAATATAATAGGCCGATATTTCTTACTTTTATTTGGATGCTCTTATGTCCCCGAAGATAACGAAAAAGAACACCGGTTGTGTATTTATTTATGACACAAATCTATGTACTTTATGGGAGTTTTTCATCTCAATGCCCATTGAGGCCACCAATACGGAGCAGAGTTCACAACTAATATCAAGTTCAAGGCACCCCCTATCATGCAGCTTGAGTGGATTGTTTGCTTGATATCATCACCGCTTCCCATTTCCATCCGCGATTTACACAGGTGCATTGTGGATAATTAATTACTATCGACAAATTACAGAGAAAAAGAAATCTAACAAAAATGGCGTAACCTTCCGCCGAGTTAAATATGATTATATGTTTCTGAATATTAACCTGGACATACAATTCAAAATCATTCCGTGAAATATAAAATGTAGTTGAGATACTTTTTTTTAATACTGAATGTATACTCCCCTAGCTACCTCTTTTCACCAACTTATATTATTGTAGGTCGCATGATATATCCTTTTTGACTCGGACGTTAGACTAAATCAAAGTCAATGAAGTGTAAAATGTAGGTCAAAGTGACATACAGTTTGCTGAATGCAGATACCCCTTGCTACTCATGCACTTAAATTAAATTCCCAAAAAGTTAAAAAAAAAATAAAATTGCATCAACCTTTTATTATTTTCTATTTTTTATTTATCTGTTTATTCATAATGATTTATTTACCCTTACAGTAAATAAACAGTGTTGATATGGTTGACAGATTCAGCAACCAACTAGCACAAAGTTCTGTCCATAGAGTAAAAACCGTTATTATTGGAGATTTCAACGTTGGCAAGACGTCCGTTGCTTTACGTTTCACACGTGATCAGTTCAAAGAAAAGTATCAGAGCACTATTGCAGGTAAGCTAATGAACGAACAAGTGCTCGCACTTGGTAAGCAACGTCCACGTTGACCAGAAGTTGCCGATTCCGAATTTAATTCGTCCTCGGAATTGATTTTGAAAGCGTACACCAAAACATTGAGATTGTCTGGTGGCACTAAAAACAATGAATACTCGATCAATGATTATAACGTTTTCATATTTTTGTTTTACAACTAAAAGACTTACATAATAATCGTTTAAAAGACCGTAAATGACGAATGAGGAGGAGTTATGACATGACTTGTAAAAAAGCATGCACTTCAAAGAAAATGTATGTCAAGTTCTAAACCTTGTTGAAGAATATAGATATGTTCTGTGTTCGAGCATTTCTTCTTTTTGTGCTATTGCATAAATTTTCTACACTGGTGTAAAGGGAGGGAACATGGAGAAAACTATGTTTTTGTCCCCTCTTTTAAATCCACTCCAACGCCACTGTTCTAATTACCAAAATACTTTAAAGAAATAAAAATCGAGTATATTGGGAGAAATTAGAGGCAACGGTAGTTTACCGGTGTTCCAAGGTACAAGACGAGATTTTTATATATATATATATATATAATTTAATTTTCGATGTAACACGTCTTCTGATTGGCTGACAACAAATGGAAGTTTTTAACGACCTTGATTGACTGAAAGATATTTGTCTATCAGTTCATAGACATAATTTTGTCATGTGACCGTGACGTCATCAACGTGTTTTTCATTATTTCCACCTTAGAAATGGAATTTAGAATTAAATTATAAGGAATGACTAATATTTTTTCTATCTATTCGAAATCATGAACCTCAAAAAAGTCGTGCACACTTTTAAATTTTCCGCTACGCGGGTTATTCAGTGGGCACCACATTGTTTATGCTATTTCTTCATAGACAGACAAAATACTAGAGTGATTCCTTAAAAGTGTATATACTGAATTAGTGTATTCAGATATAGGAAGATGTAGTATGAGTGCCAATCAGACAGCTCTCCATCCTGTACTAATCTGGACAACTCGATATTTTATTTAAAATTATTAGAACAATACAAATATTTATAAAAAAAAGATGTGGAACCCGGTCTAATCAAGAAAAGATGGAGTTTAAGTCTATACAGTAACTTTCTTTCACTTGCAGTATATTTATTTGCCAATTTGCATTATTTTGGCAGCAGAAATATCCTTAAACATTTTTCAGTTTGTATCATTATCAACCATGTCAACCGATTACGCTTTTATTTTTTTTTAGCATTTCCAATACTTAGGAAAATGTGTTACACACACTCACGATTTGTATGACAATACTGTACATTACAATGGGTATACTAGCGTTATATAGTAGAATTTGTGGTGACGTTACAGCAGACATCAATAACGTTGCCGAATATTTTATAATTTTCCGCTAAAAATCAAACTTCAAGAGAATGTAGCTTGAAAACTAGCACGGTTGCTAAGGACTTTCTTTGCACCAATAGATTAGTCGTTTATTTTTGAATCGCATTTCGAATTTTAAAAAAAATCTGTTGACCAACGAATTAGAAAATCATGATAAAGTAAAAATATCTGCCGTTTTTTATGATTTTCCCTATATATATCCTTTGTATTTCTGGCGTATCATGCTGTTAGTTTTAACAGCTTGTATCTGAAAAACGAAAACGGTTACCCCCTTTTTTATTTTATACTCTGATGTAATTTTACAAGCAGAATCCACATGTAAAATATAAAAAAATTCTGTGGAGTAGTTATATATATATTACGTACACTTCGCCTTAAAACAAAATCGCTGTTTCGGCTATTTGTAGATAAGTGTGTTATAGTATTATCAGGTATAACGATACACATGAGTGATAACTGTAATTTTATTGATGATTTGTGAGTGAAGAACTGATATAAAATATAGTAGCAAATTCGTTATGAATAAGAAAGTTAAAATAATATTTATATCTGAAGCAAACACAATTAAATAATAAAGACAGAACAAAACTCAATTAATTTGAATGACTTTTGCGTTTGACCTTGCGTCATTAAAAAATATTGATTCAACACTTCACTATCAACTTGATTGAACAATTCACTGTCATTTACATGACCTACTATCATGATTTTTTTCCGGCATCACTTACGGATACGCTCACATATAATAGATGCACCCCAATATTAACCAATCAGACATTAAGAAAGTCATTACTTCATACGGAATAAGCTAATATTTAACAATGAGAACAGATGAACAGATTTATCCCATTGTGACGTGCACCGTCTGACTAATAAGACCGAGTGTCATGTGACTCGGTAATAATTAGATCGAGTCTCATGTGACTCGGTAATAATTAGATCGAGTCTCATGTGACTCGGTAATGACAGGTATTGTTTTCTGTACATGTTTTTTGGGGGAAATATTGCTAATATCAAAGATAGCAATAACCCTTATAAACGAATGTTACTTTAAAAAAAACCAACGTTTTGCACCATCTTTATAAGATCGACTGTTGAATGAAGACTTGACAGTAATATTCCACACAACGTTATTCAACACAAACAATAATATACTTTCAGCTAGTTTCTTCGCAAATTCTCTCGATTTCAACGGAGGAAAGATTGCGTTCCAGATTTGGGACACTGCCGGTCAGGAACGATACCGGAGTCTAATACCAATGTACCTCCGTGGATCAGAGGTCGCCATCATTGTGTATGACATCACATCAAAGGTAAGTGTAGTTGGTACATGTACCACACAACCCGGTTAATTACGATATTTATCCACTCGATATAGTTTTGTTTCAATATTGTAAAAATGCAAGGTTTACCAAGTATTGTTTTAATTTTTTTTTTAATTTAACTATCGTTAGTGAATGAATATTGTACTAAACGGAGTTAAGGGGAAGAATCTGTATCTCTACAGATTTTATGGAAAATGCCGATTGCAATGTTCGGAATGGATATGACGGGAAATGATACGAGAAAACTTAGTTTAATCAACATGTGGTTTATAAAAAAATATCAAACTGATCAAAACCGATATAAAAGCATACAAAATTGTAGAAACACAATCCAATAAAGGATAACAAGCCAAAAACTGTTAACTATGATTTGGTTTTCTTTTTCCGTGATATGAACGAGGGTCTGACTGGAGATTACAGAATAGAGAATAATGGACAAAAAGTGCAGATTAAAGGACAAATAAAAACATTTAGAATAGAGAAAAATAGGCAAAGAAATAAAGAATAGAGAAAAATGGGGTGCTAAAATATAGAGATAAAATGGGGTGCTAAAATATAGAGAAAAATGGACAAAATAAACAACGAATACAGAAAAGTTGTCTCAAGAATTAAAGAATGAAGAAATGAAGAACCCTCCATCCAGACCCTCATGAACTCTGCGCCGGAGTTCGAGATTGACTACATAGTTCCTTATAGTCTGAAACGGTGAATGATAGACAATAGGAACTCGTTCAACGTATCGTAGACATGATCCATTATCACATATCGAAATTTCAATGGTATTATTTGACACGGTGTATCTGTAATTAACAATATAACATTGTCAGACTTAATTACTCCATGATTTTATTTACAGGAGTCATTTAAAAGTGTGCATTTTTGGATTGGTTTCTTACGAGATAACGGACCACAGGGACTAAAATTAGCAATTGTTGGTAACAAACTAGACCTCGAAGCAAGTCGGGAAGTTTTAGAAAAGGTTAAAAAATATTATTTTCAGAACTGATTGAATTTGTGATGAAAGAATGCGCTTGTTGTGAAAAAAACGTAATGTTTTATTTTAATTTAACGGACAAATCCTGATTTTGTCACAGCAGTAAGTTAAAATAAATTTCTAAGATTTAATAGAGTACACGAAACACGGAATATTCAATATTTATACTCAGCGGTTCTGATATTATTATTGTGTATATTCTAACTATTTTGATTCGTTTAGAAAGAGTAACATGTTCAACTATATTTTCAAAGATATACTGAAAACAGGAGATAGAAAAGTGATATTGCACGGTTATTTTTTTTTTGTTGGAAAAAGTGATATTGCACAGTTAGTTTTAGAATATCTGACAGAAACGTAACAACCACTCAAATGAATTGGTGCTGTACTTCTGGCTTATTGACAATAATAATATAACAATTGTAGCCTTTGTATGAGGTCGATACGAGGATATATCGACCTAAAGAACCATATCGACCTCGGACTGCGTCTTCAATCAATATACTTTTTTCAGGTCGATCGTCCAAGGTCGATATGCATCTTTAGGTCGATATATCCTGGTATCGACCTCATACAAAAGCTATATTTGTATAATATCACCAACACAGTAGCCAGTATTTAGGTTATGGCATGAAACTACGGATATTTTTTTTTGTTTTGTTTTTTTGCAGTGATAAAATTTTGGAAATAATTCTAAATGAAGGAATGTATCTCGCTTGTGGATAGCTTTGATTCCTTGTCCGGATTTAAATTTACGTTTTTCATTTTTGGTTTTATCAGCACTTGGACATATTATAGTACAAGTTATGTACATTTGATCTTTAAAAATAGTCTAAGTATAAGTTCTTTACTTTTAGTTTTAGTAGATGTTGTGTACACTTAGCCATAGTATAATTTCTAGAAGATGTTCTGTACACTTAGTCGTGGTAGATGTTGTGTACACTTAGCCTTAGTATAAGTTCTGGAAGATGTTCTGTACACTTAGTCGTGGTAGATGTTGTGTACACTTAGTCTTACTGTAAGTTCTGGAAGATGTTCTGTACACTTAGTCGTGGTAGATGTTGTGTACACTTAGCCTTAGTATAAGTTCTGGAAGATGTTCTGTACACTTAGTCGTGGTAGATGTTGTGTACACTTAGTCTTAGTATAAGTTCTGGAAGATGTTCTGTACACTTAGTCGTGGTAGATGTTTGTACACTTAGTCGTGGTAGATGTTTGTAAACTTACTCGTGGTAGATGTTTGTACACTTAGTCGCGGTAGATGTTTGTACACTTAGTCCTGGTAGATATTTGTACACTTGGTCGTGGTAGATGTTTGTACACTTAGTCGTGGTAGATGTTCTGGACACTTAGTCGTGGTAGATGTTTGTACACTTGATCTAGGTCGATGATTTGTACAGTTGGTATTCGTAGAAGTTCTGTACACCTGTACGTGGTAGATATTGTTATTTAACCTATTATTAGCTGAGTTCTGTACACCTTTTGTGCAGAATCTGTGCACAATGAGGTGTAGTAGATAATCTGTTGTACACTCAGTCTTGGTAAAAGTTCTGTGCACCTGGTTTTGGTAGATGTTCTATACATTTGGTCTTAGTCAAAGTTCTATACACTTCTAAGTTCTATTCTAAGTTCTATTCTAAGCAAAGTTTTATACACTTCTAAGTTCTATTCTAAGCAAAGTTCTGTACACTTCTAAGTTCTATTCTAAGCAAAGTTCTATACACTTCTAAGTTCTATTCTAAGCAAAGTTTTATATACTTCTAAGTTCTATTCTGAGCAAAGTTCTATACACTTCTAAGTTCTATTCTGAGCAAAGTTCTATACACTTCTAAGTTCTATTCTGAGCAAAGTTCTATACACTTCTAAGTTCTATTCTGAGCAAAGTTCTATACACTTCTAAGTTCTATTCTAAGCAAAGTTCTGTACACTTCTAAGTTCTATTCTAAGCAAAGTTCTATACACTTCTAAGTTCTATTCTAAGCAAAGTTCTATACACTTCTAAGTTCTATTCTAAGCAAAGTTCTGTACACGTCTTAGTGATAGACGAAGTTCTTTTTACTTAGTGCACGCACAAGCTCTGTATAATTAGGCTTAGTAGATGTACTGAACATTTGGTCTTATTAGATATGCTGCACAACTAGTGTTGCGAAATGTTCTGTAAGGTAATCGTGCACTTGGTCTTTAGTAGGTCTACACTTACTAGTACTGTAAACCAACTTATTTTCGCGGATACTTTATTTCGCGTTTAGCCCTTTCTAGTCAATTTTGCGGCGATTTAATTTCTCGATTCTCAAATTTACTTGATGTAGTTAAGTAAGAAATAATCAAAGTTGTACATATTCGCGATATTTTTCTACTCGCGAAAGTCGCGAAAATAAATCGCTCGCGAAAATAAGTTGGTTTACTAGTATTCACAGAGGAGTTATGTTATTTGTCTTGTTAGTTTTTCTGTACACTTAGTTTTTGTACTCTAAACTCAAGCAACAGTTTTATATACTCAGTATGTACTCTTTGCGTAAGATAACCCGAATAATTCAGACCCTCCCAGTAATTGATCTCTCCTAATTCCTATTTGTTAATGTAGCAATGGAAGATCAGCGGAAAATAACGACTGAATTATTCGGGTTTTGCGTAAGAAGGAGTTTATCAATGTATGTATATTTCCAGGAAGTTGAGAGTTTTTGTGACGAAGAGAAGATTTACTTCATGGAAGTGTCAGCCAAAACTGGAGACAATGTTCAAAGGTTGTTTACGGATATTGGTATGTGCGTGGAATTTACTATATGAGGTTCTGGATCGGGGGGGGGGGGGGGGTGGTGTCACGGTCCCTCATTTTTATGTTCTTCAAATTTTTAAACCATTTTTCTCTATTCTTTATTTTTTTGACGATTATTCTCTATTCCTTGTATTTTAGCACCCCATTGTTCTATATTCTTTATTTATTTTACTTCATTCTGCTCTTTTTGATGAATCGTGACATTGTATGTTCTATTATGTAAACCCCTTCCAGAACCTATAATATAATAAGGTTTAATTTATACGCACACATCTAGCAAATTAGCTGTTGCTTGTCACAGTATGATTTGTATGGGGAGTACAGTGACCGGAATGTAAAGATGTCAGGGATATGAAAGGAGATCATTGAAATAAGTCACAACAATCGAACAAACAAATAACAAAACAACATCTAGAGATGATTCAGAACCTTAGTTAACAACAATAGACAGAACGATGTCTATATTATTATTGTTTTTGACTTTTAACCATCTTTCAGTAACTGCGAGTACCCTCAAATCGTACTTTCGTGTTAATTTGACCTGTTGATACAATTTGTAATGCATTTTTGTTATTTGATATTTACTTATTTAGTGTTATATCTCGTCTCACTATTTTTAATATATACCACCTTTGATAAGTGTTTGGTATGACGATAAATTTTAACTTCTGTTCTCGTACTATGAACAACAAAATTATTTATTTTGTAAACAATATTTTCGTACTCCATGTATACCTTACAACAATTTATTTATTTACCTGTGTACGTTATTTTATTTGGCGGCATTTTGTCCAAGGTTATGGTTGTCTTTTTGATATTGTTTTACATCTAGCCCCCTTGTTTTATATTTACATTGTGTCATAGATCAAATTTATTCGTTCAGTGTATGTTCACTTGTTTTTGTTAATATGTATTTTGATTGAGTTAAGCCATTTCAATTGATATTTTAAAGTGTGTCTTTCTATGTTGTGATGTTACACTATAATTATTTCAGGTAGGGTGAAGGTTGGCGCCTATTAAAACGTTTAAACCCGATGCATTTGTTTGCACTTGTCCTAAGTCAGGAACCTGATGTTCAGTGGTTGTCGTTTGTTGATGAGGTTCATAAGTGTTTCTCGTTTCTCGTTTCTCGTTTCTCGTTTTTCATATAGATCAGACCGTTGGTTTTCCTGTTTGAATGGTTTTACACTAGTCATTTTTGGGGCCCTTTATAGCTTGCTGTTCGGTGTGAGCCAAGGCTCCGTGGTGCAGGCCGTACTTTGACCTATAATGGTTTATTTTTACAATTTGTGACTCGGATGGAGAGTTCTCTCAATTGCAATCATACCACATCTTCTTATATCTATACAATATACCAATTAGTCATGGTAAATCGTTAAAAATTTGTATACATGCTAGTTGTTACCTAGTCAATTCAGATATGTAATAATAAAATATACCTTCATGTGTTACTTTTAGAGATAAATGGTGTCCAAATTTTAGACCGATTACTCAAATTAAATTTCGGTTCCTTGAAAATTTTTAGTCCAAATAATTATGACGTCTTGACAGGCTAATTTAATTTTTTTTCTGTGACGCCTTCCTACTGGCTCAAGACCTCATAATTATTTGGACTAGGAAATTTCTAGAAGGCGTCACAGAAAAACAAAAGCCTTTTAAGACATCATAATTATTCGGACTAGGAAATTTCTATCCTGTGGACAAACAAACCTAACTTTTTTGTTATAAAAGATAAACGCAAGCGAATTTTTGTAAAATAATTTGGAATATCTTCTTCACATAAGTATGCTCTTAATTTATGTAACAGTTCTTTGGAAATATTTCATTTTAATTTTATAAAGAAACGTCATTTTTTGCTGTACATTTATCTAATATATCGGTGATTTGTTCATAAAAATTGGTACAAATAATCTTCATACACACAATCAAGCTAAATGTCATTTTTAAAAAGAGGGGTCCATGTACTCGTTGTCGAGCTAATTATTAAAATCAGTCGAAAAATGCAACTTTTCCCGATATGTATGTCACAGTTTGACATCGCGAAAAATAACATTTTACGTTAGCGAGGTACGTCATTACGTCCCCTGTAACTGTATCGTATGCCCGTTAGGAGCACATTGAATAAATGAATTCATTATTTTCTTTTTCAGCCAAGTCGATATTGTCGGGTGATAAAACGCAGCGACGATCTATATTGCGTCAGACCTCTATCAAAATAGACACTAGTACCTATAAACATAAACACAGATGCTGTCATCGGGGAGAATATACAGTTCAGAAAGAGTAACCTCGATAGTATCATGATTGAACATTAAATAAGCTAAACATAGATGCTTTTATTTATTAAGATATAATGTGAGCTGTAACTCTTCTATAGTGGTTAATTTCACATCGATAGTCTAGATGAGGGTGGACAGGGGTAAGGGAACATGGGAATGAGGTGACGGGAAGCAGGAGTCCGGGGGGGGGGAGGAAGCGGGAATCGGTGAAGTATAATTAGGACTATTCTTGGATAAAAAAAAATGACTGATTTTGGTCTGGGAGTTTGGCGGAGGTAAGTGGGAGTAAGGTGGATGGAATTGGGGGGTGGGGGGGGGGTGTAGGGAAGTAGGAATAAGGGATCCCCTGACCATTCCTTCATAGTCTGGTGGTGGCTGTTCTCTACTCCTGGAAGTTATTTGTTTGATTTGTTTGTTCGTGTTAGAAAGATCTTAAATATTAGCCTTTGGTACTTCTCTGTTCAACGCGTATCATTTAGGCCACGACCTTTTAACTTGGGGGAGTTGACGAGGTGAAAAGGGGGAGTTTTATCAATGGGGCAACCAAAAACCACAGGCGGTAGGAAACAGATCAATCTATGGCCAAATGAATACGCCGAAACGAATTGTTTACAATCTATAAAATTTCGAACTATTGTAAACAGGAAGTGGCTACAAAACTCAACATTATCAAGCTCCAGACCAACTATAAATTCATTCCCTTCCATAGAAGCCAAGAAACAGCCAATACAAATCAAGAAATTGGTTTGACCCGAACGGAATCCGACCCACGACCTCCCGCCAATTAACCACGATACCACCGAGGCAGTTCTGAGGTAAATAAAATAAACAGAAACTAAATTTTAAATCATCGATGAAAATCACGAAAAATAGGATTTGTAAAAGCTCATCTTAATAACGTTTGTCATGTAAATCACGAGGTTATTGTTGGGGGGGGGGGGGGTCTTTCATTTCTGTATTCTCTAATTTTTTAGTTCATTTTTCTGTATTCTTTATATGTTTTGCCTACTTTTTTCTATTCTGTGTATTTAAGCACCAAATTATTCTCTATTCTTTATTTTTTCCCTATTTTTCTCTATTCTTTATTTTTTTTTGCCATTTATTCTGCATATTTTGCCAATTTTTCTCTATTCTGTAAACCCCATCCATATCCTCAATCATTAACTAGTTAAGAACAAAACACCCTAAACGGATCAAGGTACTTGGGGACAGTGCAATTTTGTTTACCTCCCTTATTTTCATAAATTCTTCATTTTTGTCGAGCCTGCGACTTGTGTCGCAAAAGCGAGACATAGCGATCCTACATTCCGTCGTAGTCGTCTTCGGCGGCGGCGTCCACAAATATTCACTCTGTGGTTAAAGTTTTTGAAATTTTAATGACTTTCCCTTAAACTATCCTGGATTCGTACCAAACTTGGACAGAAGCTTGTTTATGATCAAAAGCTAGTATCTATAAGGAAATTTTGTAAAAACTTATTTCCTGTTTTTCCGTATATTACTTATAAATGGACTTAGTTTTTCTTCCAGTTAACATTACATACAGTCTGCAGTTAAAGTTTTTAAAACATTTACTAAATTCATAAACCATCCTGGATTTTTACCAAACTTGTACAGAAGCTTCTTACAATCAAAAGATAGTATCTAGGGGAAAATCTTTAAAAAATTTTCCCCCATTTTTGTTGAGCCTGCGACTAACAGCAAAAGTAGGCGAGACACTGGGTTCCGCGGAACCCTTACGAATTTTTGTTGTTGTTTTTTTTTTTTAATTTCAATTAAATTTGTGTTTTTTTATAATGTGAGACTTATATAAATGAGGGTGTGGATGGGGGTTTACAGAATAGAGAATAATGGGCAAAAAATATAAAGAATAGAGAAAAATGGACCAAAAAAATAAAAAATAGAGAATAATGAGGTGCTAAAATATAAAGAATAGTGGGAAAAAAGTATAAAGAATAGAGAAAGTGGCCTAAACAATTAAAGAATACAGAAATGAAGGACCCCCATCCATACCCTCATAAATATACTAAAAACATCATTTACTTACTATTTACTATCAATTACTAGTTTACTATCCAATGCGGTTATTGATATATTTTTTATGCTCACTATCTGATGGTGGTTCGCATGCTCAAATGTGTGGGTTCGATATTCATCCGTCTTAAATAGAAGACTACAAATTTTGCATAAGCTCCTTCTCTCCATTACATGTACGAATTAAGAATAGGTAAACAAAAATGGTAAGAATGTTAGACAGGAATGCCGGATAACATATCAAGATGGGATCAAATGTTGCCATTCAATCTATATTAAAACAAATGAAAATGCCACAGTGAACGACAGATTAGATTGCTACTTGTTCGCTTCTAGGTGTTTAATGCCAATTTCAGCACTATTGACTTTTTCTTGATGACCACTTTTTACTGGTGGAGGAAGACGGAGTGGCCTCAGAGAACCACCGACAATCGGCAGGAAAATTGGCAATCCTAGTCAATTAAGATTGGAACGCATCTGACACGTGCGGAGTTCGAAATCATCTGATAGTGCTGATCTTGACAGGCTTATGATAGAATAGATGAATACTTTGACCAATCGGCAACCGAGGCCCACTTAACAGATAATACTTTGACCAATCGCCAACCGAGGCCCACACGACAGATAATACTTTGACCAATCGCCAACCGAGGCCCAAACGACAGATAATAATTTGACCAATCGGCAACCGAGGCCCCCACGACAGATAATACTATGACCAATCGGAAACCGAGGCCCCCACGACAGATAATACTATGACAAATCTGCAACCGAGAACCGAGGCCCCCACGACAGATAATACTATGACCAATCGCCAACCGAGGCCCCCACGTCAGATAATACTTTGAAAATCGCCAACTGAGGCCCCCACGACAGATAACACTTTGACCAATCGCCAACCGAGGTCACACGACAGATAATACTTTGACCAATCGCCAACCGAGGCCCCCACGACAGATAATACTTTGACCAATCGCCAACCGAGGTCCCTACGACAGATTATACTTTGACCAATCGCCAATCGAGGCCCACAGGACATATAATACTTTGACTAATCGCCAACCGAGGCCCCCCACGACAGATAATACTTTGACCAATCGCCAACCGAGGCCCACACGACAGATAATACTTTAAACAGTCGCCAACCGAGGCCCACACGACAGATAATACTTTGACCAATCGCCAACCGAGGCCCCCCACGACTGATAATATTTTGACCAATCGCCAACCGAGGCCCACACGACAGATAATACTTTGAACAGTCGCAAACCGAGGCCCACACGACAGATAATATTTTGACCAATCGGCAACCGAAGCCCCACGACAGATAATATTTTGACCAATCGCCAACCGAGGCCCACACGACAGATAATACTTTGAACAGTCGCAAACCGAGGCCCACACGACAGATAATATTTTGACCAATCGGCAACCGAAGCCCCACGACAGATAATTCTATGACCAATCGGCAACCGAGGCCCCCACGACAGATAATACTAGGACTAATCGCCAACCGAGGCCCCCACGACAGATAATACTTTGACCAATCGCCAACTGAGGCCACCACGACAGATAATACTTTGACTAATTGGCAACCGAGGCCCCCACGACAGATAATACTTTGACTAATCGGCAACCGAGGCCCCAACGACAGATTGGATAACTAGTTTCTGTTTAGTTTTTAACAACTTTTTGAACTCAAGTCGATTTAGAGCTTGACACATGGTTAAGACACATTTGGGTGTCTGTTATTGACCTCACTGAAATGACCTCTGATTATTTGTGTGGCTGGGATGCTGTCTTATTGACGTATATGCTCTCATTTTTATTTAATATGGATGTTTTCATTTTTTAAATTTGAAAAAAAGTTAGATGTTATGAAGTGCTTATCTTTAGCAGTTCAATCGTTTTTTGTTTTGTTTTTTTTTTACAATTAACGTTCAAGACAGTAATTTGTTTTAAAATGCACAATCACTTCATGGATTTTACCAAGTGACGGTTACAGATCATTCATGACAAAAGTCTAAAGCTTAGCTTACAAAATGCTGGCAAAGTCTTGACTTTCTAGACGTTGAGATTTGTACGTCGTCTTACGTCCATTATTGAGCCTCCTCATGGAGTTTTTGATTATGTGATTACTTGGCCGTTTTTATAGTGATTATTTGATTACCAGACAAAATATTTCATGATTATTTGATTATTTGATAATCTAGGACTGTATTTTTGATTATTTGATTATCTTGTTAAAAAAAATAATTAATGATTATGTGATTATATTGGCAAAAAATTTGTGATAACTTTGACACCCCCATGAGGAGCCTCATTATTGAGGATCTGGATGGGGTTTACAAAATAGAGAATAATGGACAAAACGTGCAGAATAAAGGGCAACAAAAATTAAAGAATAGAGAATAATGGGGTGCTAAAATATAACGAATAGAGAAAACCAGGAAAATTTTATAAAGAATAGACCGGGAAATGTCTAAAAAAAATTAAGAATACAGAAATAAAGGACCCCCATTCCAGACCCTCGTTATTCAATTGGCTAACGAGAAGTGGAGTTTCGCTAACTTCGATCCAGACCTGGAAAATTAAGTTAGTTTTGATCAGGTGAGGAGTCTAGATGCTAGTATACACCTTTTCGCTATTTGTCCGCCATTACTGGACATCACAAAGGTTCCCGTAAAGTTTTGACGTCATAATACAACATTTATGACGCCACAATGGAAAAGTGATTGTTGTATGACGTCAATAGTTCAAGCGGGGCAGATACTCGGGTCAACCGGGACAGATTTCCAAATAGCGATAAGGTGTATTCAATATGCAGCGCGTTAAAAAATCCCATTGAAAGATCATTATTTGATCAACATAATTATGTTGCATCCTTCAAGTTCTTGGCTTCTAATTCCAAGGGTAAAGTTAAACGAGTTCTTCTACGTGAAATTGAACTTTTCCATTTAAGAATCGGAAGCATTCTGGGTAATATTTTCAAATTGTACACTAGTCTCGATCATCCAGACGCATTATGGATATAGTTTGATTTGTAAAATTCAAACGTCTTGGTAACCGAGACTTATTTACACCAAAACGTTGTGGTTGGCTAACAACGTTCCATTGACATTTCAACCATTGGCTTGACATTGTTTTCACTGTACTTAGGGTATGAACAACGGAATTATCAATGTTTTTTTTAGATTCTGAAACTGCGAGGTACAACATTTTCTGTCCGCAGGGAGATATAGTACATTGTTGCACAAATAAATAAAAAGATAATAACATGTAAATATTTATTTTGAAATGCTTAAGAAAAGACATGAAACAGTAATGAATAAAACAATTTAAATTGAAACATAATATTTAAAAACAATTTATGTCTTTTTTTTCAACAAAGAATTAATCTTGTTTTCTAACATACATGTATGTTCACCATAAATGACTCATTATCTATTTCTTGACAAGGCCCCATATATTTTCTAAATACACATACAATAAAGCAGCAAAACTAGAATACACCAACACGTGGGTTCTCCATTTTTCATAACTTTTAAAATCCAGCATATCATTATGAATAGCCATGTTCATAAGAAGTCTCTCTATGCATATCCTTTCACATGATTCATAAACAGCTTGCATATGGATATTTTCTACCGGTATCAGGTCACGTGAATATCTCTTCACAAACATCTCGGTTACGTCATCAACTACGTCACAAAATTCTGCTGTTGTTATCATGCGTGCGTTTCTTTTCAAATATCCGCCATCTACGTTGATGTCTATTGGTAGCACTAGCAGATTCATGGCGTCTAATGACCGGAAAAATATATTTTGAGCTTTATGGTAATCCTTTTTCAAATTATTGTCAAACCGCGTAACTCCCGGTTGTTTTGAAGTATCGGTTTTTAGCTTGTTTGGACTGTCCGATTCGTTAGGAATTAAGCTTTTCTCAAAAAGTCTATAAATAGACGATCTTCTTTTATCAAGTTTGCCTTGACCTGTAACATTTTCTCGTAAAACCGTTTCCTTTACGATATGTTTTATAACTTTCATCTTTGGTTCATCCAAAAAGCATTTCACTTTTGAAATCAACAAATTTTCAACCTCAAATGGCTCTAAACCAAATTTCATCAACGAAGCTCGTCTCTTTGGATGATATATCTGGTCACTTCGATAATCTGAAAAATATTAAATAAAGTTTGTTTATACTTTGGATAGCTGTCATATTCTCGCACTTTTACTAACCAAATAAATTATGAACGCCAGGGTCTTTGGGAAAGAAAACCTAAAATATACTCGGAGGCGAAAACTACGTTAAATAAAATGCTCCGCTGGTCGCAGCTTGATACGACTGCAAAGGTCGAATCCTGAACAGTTGGGGCAAGTATGGACACTACATTCAAGCTTGATACAGCTCTGAAATTGGATAGGGATTAAATAGTTGATACAGCATAGGTTTCTGACACAGAATGAATGTGGTAAAAAAACTAAAAAAAAAATGAAATTGGATTTTTTAACTATTATGGTCCAATATCCAAAATCTAAATACATGGTTCGATTCAGCATATCGTAGTACACAAAGAATTTAATTAATTTATTTATTAATGGACAATATTAGGTAAGTTTTTCCAAACAAAAATGTACATATATATATATATATATATAAAAATATAACATTCTGAAAATTAATTTATACAGAATAACAATCAAACCTACCAGGAAATTCCTCAAAAAATTTACAAAAAAAAAAAAAAAATAAAAAAAAAAAAACAATTTCCAAAATATCATTATCATTAAAACAATGTTTTTTTTAAAAAATCTATAACACTTACCTTTGAGTATTTTTCAAAAATCTAATAATGAGCAGTAAATTTCCAACTATATTTATACATAATTTCTGAAATTAGAACTTGATCATGATGCTATATCTATTTTTACCTATGAATCCACTTACTATTTTTATTGATTGTGCAATACAGCTCTGAATTTGGATTGTGATTAAATGTTTGACATAGAAAGGGTTCCTGACACAGAAAATGTTGTCTAAGAACTTAAAAATTTGAATTTGGACATTTACTTATTATGGTCCAATATTCAAAATCTAAATACATGGTTAGATTCAGCATATCATTGAAAGAACCCCAAGAATTCAATTTTTGTTGAAATCAAAGTTTAATTTTGGAACCTTTGGACCTCAATGTAGACCAATGTGATAACGGGGCCTAAAACCCAAATCTAAATACACAGTTAGATTCAGCATATCAAACAAACCCAGAAATTCAATTTTTGCAGAAATCAAACAAAGTTTAATTTTGGACCCCGATTTGAACCAATTTAAAAAAAACTGGGCCCAAAATCATAAATCTAAATACATGTTTAGATGCAGTGTATCAAGAAATCCTTGAATTCAGTTTTTGTTAAAATCAAACTAAGTTTAATTTCGGACCCTTTCGGATCCTTAATGTGGACCAATTTAAAAACGGGGCACAAAATCGAAAATCTAAAACACGGTTAGATTTAGCATATAAAAGAACCCCATGTATTAAAGACTTTGAATTAAACCCCATTGAAATTGGTCAAGAAATAAACAATGCATACAAAGTATTAGAAAAGTAATGTTTTGGCCCTTTTTTCCTAAACGGTTAAGGCCTAACCTCCAAAATCAATCCCAACCTTCGTTTTATGGTATGGAAGCTTGTGGTACAATTCCATAGAGATCCTTAGACTTATTCTCAAGTTATTGTCCGGAAACCTGAAAGTGCTAGTTTTTGGCCCCTTTTTGACCCCTAATTCCTAAACGGATTTGGCCATAACCTCAACCTTTTTTTTTGAGGTATGGAACCTTGTGGTACAATTTCATAGAGATTCATACACTTATACACACGTTATTGTCATGAAACAAGAAAAATGCTTGTTTTTGGCCCTTTTTGTCCTCTAATTCCTAAGCAGTTAGGACAATAACCCCTAAAAACCAATCCCAACCTTCCTTTCATAGAGATCCATACACTTATACTCAAGTTATTGTCTGGGAACCAAATGTCTTCGGACGGCGACGACGACGCTGACAACAAAATTATTTTTTTTACATTTTTCTCTGATCAAAAGGAGGCGTACGTCCTTTACGACATAACCTGGATCTGCTACTGAACGCAGCTATCAGGGGCGGATCCAGGATTTTAGGTAAGGGGGCGCAAACTTAAATTTTTGTCGAGCGGAGGTAAAATTATCGAAATATTCTTTATCAAGCTGAGGACAACCCATGCTTTACAAATTTAAGGGGGCGCACGCCCGCCACGCCACCGCCTGAATCCGCCCCTGGCTATAAAAGAGTAAGTAGTTGTCTAATTGTCGAATTTTACACATCAGAAAACATCCATTCCGTCAACATAAGCTAGTGGTTTCCGTCATATTTGAAATCGCATTCGGTGATGTCACAAGTGAGAAAAGAACTACATTGGGTGCATTCAAATTCGTAGTCTCTACCACAGGGGTGCGTTCAAAATCGTAGTCTCTACAATAGGGGTGCGCTCAAAATCGTAGTCTCTATCATAGGGGTGCGTTCAAAATCGTAGTCTCTACAATAGGGGTGCGTTCAAAATCGTAGTCTCTACCACAGGGGTGCGTTCAAAATCGTAGTCTCTACAATAGGGGTGCGTTCAAAATCGTAGTCTCTACCACAGGGGTGCGTTAAAAATCGTAGTCTCTACAATAGGGGTGCGTTAAAAATCGTAGTCTCTACCACAGGGGTGCGCTCAAAATCATAGTCTCTACCATATGGGTGCGTTCAATATCGTAGTCTCTACCATAGGGTGCGTTTAATATCGTAGTCTCTGCCACAGGGGTGCGTTCAAAATCGTAGTCTCTACAATAGGGGTGCGTTCAAAATCATAGTCTCTATCACAGGGGTGCGTTCAAAATCGTAGTCTCTACCACAGGGGTGTGTTCAAAATCGTAGTCTCTACAATAGGGGTGCGTTCAAAATCATAGTCTCTTCCACAGTGGTGCACTCAAAATCGTAGTCTCTACCATATGGGTACGTTCAATATCGTAGCCTCTACCATAGGGTGCGTTCAAAAATTTAATCTTTACCATAGGGGTGCGTTAAATATCGTAGCCTCTACCATAGGGAGGGGTACGTTCAATATCGTAGTGCTACAATGGTGTAAAGCTGACCTAGCCGCCAAATAGATGCATGATAGTGAAGAATGAGATATGTTTCACGCCGTCGATAAAATTATTGTGACATCCACACAACTTTTGAAACGATGAATAGTACTTCAATTTTACCACCAAGAACCCTTAGGCCTTGATGAATGAATGAATAATATAGAGAGAAGGAGAAATAAACCTTACCAGCCAATTTAATGGATCTTAAACCAGATAACAGCTTTTCTTCTTCTGTTGTTCTACCCTATTAAAAAGTTAAGACTTTTACACACTTTTTTAATTCATAATTTGCCAATAATCTATTTGCAAATTCAGCAATTGACCCTGTTATACTAATTAGGGACCTATTTTGTTTCATAAGAATAGACATACATTTTCATTGATTATATGAAGAGCTAGTCGAAAGATAAAATGTATCTGCGTATAAGGTATATATTCTTTATGTTTTTCAAATGTTCTAATTACATTTAATCTTTTGTTTGGATAAACACAGTTTTTTTTAAAAATTTAAATTGGTTAAAAAGGCCTATATATCACTTTCAACTTATGCTTTGCTTGTGCAGTAGCCCATTTGTCCGGTATAGAACCAGCCGGCATAGGCTAATTTGTAAAGGGAAACAACTCGTGTTAAAAGTGTGTAATAACAGAATCAAGTCGTTAATTGGCAAATAGACTATAGTCTCGTTGAATTTGGTAACTATAGTGTGGAAGACACCGAAAGGAGGTAGTACTATATATACTAGTATACTCCTTACAATAACAAATATTCGTCCTGAACATGCACAGTCTGTGTTTTTGTTTGAGGTTTTTCTTTATATCTATCCGATGAGTTAAGCCTTTTTCAACGGATTTTTATAGTTTGTTCTTATGTTGTGCTGTTACGCCACTGTCCCAGATTATGGGAGGGTTAAGCGCTCACAAACATGTTTAACCCCGCCACATTCTTTAAGTGTCTGTCCCAAGTCAGGAGCCTTTAGTTCAGTGGTTGTCGTTGGTTCATGTTTTTCATATTTGTTTTTTGTCATAAATTAGGCCGTTAGTTTCCTCAATTAAATTGTTCAATTTTTTCATGTCCGGGGCTATTATAGCCGACTATACGGTATGGGTTTTTCTTAATTGCTTACATCCACTTCATTTTAACTTTGGTGGATAGTTGTCTCATTTGCAATCATACGGTGATGATACCTCATCTCCTTATTTTAATATGTAATATCGGCCGCCGAACGAAAGAAATATTAGAATAGTCATCAAACAATCAATCTTCAAGAATTAACTCCCTTTGCTTTTTCAAGAGCCATACATCTTATCTGTTAAGGATGTAAGTATACTTGAAAAATTTCCATATAAAAATATAAATCCGGAAAAAGCAAATGGAGTAGCTTGTAAAAGATAAATAAATAAAATATATTTTCTGTGATATATATACTATATTCTGTTAAAGTTATCGTTTAACGATTCTGGAATTAATATGTTATAGAAGTTAAATTTTCCTAAATAAAATGACTTTAAACGTACACATCGATTAGGGGATGACACGGGGTGTTCATTTCCAAAATCTCGCTTTTTTATAGTTTTTTCCCATTTTCCACTTTTTCCCTACATTTACCAAGATTCCACTTTTTTAACCCTCTATACCACACATCCACACTTTTTTACCCCCTATATCCAACATCCACACTTTTTTACCCCCTACACCCCACATATCTAAATCGTGCCGTCCCTCTCGTCGATGTTGTACCTTAAAAGTTAAAAGATTATCTAATATCTTTTCATTCTTTATAAAATCTGCCGCATTAAGGAACAAGTCATAGAGAGTGAGGAAAACAACACGATTCCTTAAATGGAAAATCAATAGAATAAATATAAGAATAACCGATGTCTGGTTTACGCTCGATATAGTACGGATATGCTTACCAATAAGTGACTTTCTTGCTGCTTTCGAGTCTGAATATTTTCCCCTGGTCCTTCCACAACTTCAGATCCATCTATAGCTCTTGCAATATTACTGGCATCTCCAGCCGCTCCAATATCTCTGTAAGCGCTTTCAAAAACTGCTGAACCATCTTGTTCTCTCTGGTGAAAAAAATACAAATATACTATTAATTTTTCATTTTGTTTTTGCCTTAAAAATCTTCTTTATGTATAACAAGTAACTTGAGTTAAAAAGATGTTTACCAAAGCAAGGAGCCTGTAGTTCATAGTTGTTTTTCGTTGCTGTCTATTGTTTTGTTATAAATCAGGCCGTTGGTTTTCTTGTTGGAATTGTTTCACATTTAATCATGCATGTCGTGGCCTTTTATAGAGCTCTGAATATACTGTACATGCTCGTTACTCATTTTTGAAGGCCGTACAGAATACGTATAGTTGCTGACATCCAAGTTACTTGGATTGTGGTGGATAGTTGTCTCATTGGCAATCAAACCATATCACTTATTTGTTTACTTCATATCTAACAGATTTGCGGAGTAAATGCCTCATAGTTCTGTCTGGTGGTTGGTAAAGGAAAGATATGGGAAATATGTTCATGCGACATACTGTCCATGACATAAATCATTTGTTCTAGGGGGACATCTAAGGAACAAAGTTTATACCGTTGCTATTCATATCTTTACAACGAACGTCAAGCCCGGTTGTCATTATCAAAGTTAACTTTGTAAACTTGAGATCTAACAAAACATGTTTAACCCCGCCGCATTTTTGGGCCTGTCCCAAGTCAGGAACCTCTGGCATTTGGTAGCCTTGTATGGTTTTTTCAAATTTTGGCTCATTTACATGTTTCGGAGATTAGTGCGGCGTCCATTTCCACTGAACTTGTATACACTATTGTTTTTGAGCCAGCTGAAGCCCGCCTGCGGATGTCCTATTTTCACGCTGTGTTGAAGACCCTTTGGTGGCCTTGGACTGTTTTCTGCTCTTTAGTCGGGTTGTTGTCTCTTTGTCAAATTTTCAGTTTCATGCAGTTCTCAATTTTATTCATCTGTTGTCATTACCAAAGTTTTTCATATAGAAATCACTGCACTTTGTTTGGATAATTTCCATCAAAAACTATTTAAGTTTCAAGAAAAATAGGATGATATTCTATACCATCCAAGTCCGTCAAAGTTGTTGATCAAAGATTTTTGACGGTTGACACTATAAAAAAATCCATAAAAACCTTGTTCTACAGGAAACACGTTGATAGTGAGAACTGTCCTTATTTTAAGCACTCAAACATGAACGCGATATCATAATTTAAAAAAAAAATCGTATTCAAGGAGGGCCCTAATGGACATTATGGTTGACACTATAAAAATTTCCATAAAAACCTTGTTCTACAAGAAATACGTTGATAGTGAGAACTGTCCTTATTTTAAGAACTCAAACAGGAACGCAATATCATACTTTAATTTTTTTTATGGTATTCAAGGAGCTCCCTAATTGTGGAGGTCCTAAAATTATAAGGGAACGACCATTTAACTTCAAAAGGGAGGGGGGTATGGTTTTTTCCTAAAAAATATATTCTGATCCTCAATTTTCTGAAAAAAAATTATTCTGGTCAAGCAGATGACAAAAAAATATTCTGAATCATAGATTTTCCCTATACCTTATAGTGTTATATTCGTAATTTGAGTGATAGCGTCGAAAAACTTTAAAAAGTTGTTCTGACTCAGAAAAAAAACATACCCCCCCCCCCCCCCCCCCCCCCCTTTTGAAGTTAAATGGTTGCCACTGTAAGTATTTCAGCATATTCTTAATAATGATGAAGCTCCATGATTATATATTTCAGGATATCCTGCATATTCTATAGTCTTTTCACTTTTCAGCAACTCGTCTTCGGTCATATATATATATATATATATATATATATATATATAAGTGCCTATAAATAGCAGCACATGACATACAAATCTATGGGAGTGTGGATTAATCAGTACAGAGATTAATTCAATTACACAAATAAAATTATAGATTGCTCCTTGAATACCATAAAAAAAATTAAAGTATGATATTGCGTTCCTGTTTGAGTTCTTAAAATAAGGACAGTTCTCACTAGTTTTTCGACGCTATCACTCAAATTACGAATATAACACTATAAGGTATAGGGAAAATCTATGATTCAGAATATTTTTTTGTCAATGAAAAACATTATCTCCAGATAGACGGTACTAGTATGGGCACAAAAATGGCCCCGTCATATGCCAACATATTTATGGGCCAACTTGAAAAACGCCTCTTGGCTAGTGCTCCATACCAGCCCTTATCATGGTTCCGATTCATTGACGATATTGATTTCAAATGGACAGATTCACAAGAACATCTTAATGAATTTCTAGGACACTGTAACTCTTTCCACCATTCAATAAAATTTACATATGAATCATCTATGGAGAAAATAAACTTCCTCGACACTACGAGTTACATCAAGAACGGAACCATTATAACGGACCTTCATACCAAACAAACGGACAAACATCAATTCCTTTCTCCTAAAAGTTGCCATCCTAAACACTGCTCCCGTGGCATCCCATTCAGCCAGGCATTGCGAATCAAGAGAATATGCTCTACTGAAAATACGCAAAATGCTAGACTTGGACAACTACGTAAACATCTAGTTGTTCGAGGATACAATAACAACATCATTGATAGCGCTTTCGAAAGAGCAAACAAAACTAGTCGCCAAAGAACTTCTAGAGTACAAAGATAAGAATAAAGCAGCTAACAGAACACCCCTTGTACTCACTTACCATCCTGATTTTAAAAATGTGTCTTCCATTGTTCAGAAGCATTGGAAAATTATAGAAAATGATTCAAATCTTAAAAAAGTATTTTCCTCACCACCAGTCATGGCCTTCAGAAGACCTAAAAACATCCGTGACAAATTAGTGACATCTGTATTAGCAAAGCAGCCTACTCCATCTCCCGGTTGCTACAAACAATGTGGTCGAAGGAACTGCTTGTGTTGTAAAGCTGCCAGTACAAGCAGTTCTTTCATCAGCTCCGTTACTAAACAAAATTATACCATCTACTCAAATTCCAACTGTAAAACGGAGAACTCAATTTATATATTAACATGTGACACATGTGGCATTCAGTATGTGGGAGAAACAATGGACAAATTTAATATTCGGCTCAATAACCATCGTTCATGGTACAAAACCAACAAAAACTGTCCTCTCACAAGACATCTTCGTTCAACGAAACATTCTTTTGATAATGTTACCTTCCAAATCATAGAAGTCAACACCGAGTGGGATACCACGGCGAGAAGGAGAAGAGAAAATTTTTGGATCCACCAACTCCACACTTTAGAACCTGATGGTCTTAACGAAAAAGATGAGAAAAGATACAGGAAAGATAAAGAATAATTTAGTACACAGCATCGTCCTTTTTATCCTGTAATATTGGCCAATGGACGTTGCTAACTTCAACTACCAATTTTGTAAAAATCTTGAACTTCATCCAAATTATGTATTATTTTCAAGGCAGCTAAATTCAAGTGCAACATATACATTGAGCTGCAAAAGTTTCTTATCATCTACATCCGATTTCACCTGGATAGATGCACGCTTGATAAAGCTAGTTAGTCTAGCGAAATATTGCGTTTATTTTCATCATTTTGTAAATATTTTAAACATTCTTATATTTACATACTAAATAGTGTGTTAAAATTACATTGTTAGGCAATCTATATATATATATATATATATATATGGCCTTCCAAATACCGTTTCGATCCCTAACATCACTGAAGAGACATTTATTGTCGAAATCCGGATATGGTGTACAAATTTTTGCACCTCATGTTTGTGGTATACCATCTTTTCCACAAGTTTATTGTTTTCTGTTTGGTATTAAATTAATATTAAGATCCATTTTTTTTAGATCTGGTGATCAATTTATTTGGCAATCGCCAATGGCAGTCAGCAGGGTTTAAGAACATCAGTTGTTCGACCTGTTAGTCAAATGCGTTTTGTTAAAATAGACTTTTTCACTTTTTTTGATCTTTTGGAAATTGTTGTTTGTGCTGTATTTAGACCCCTCTACCAAGAAATTTGTTTTACATGCACACGTATGAAAATTGCGGTTTTTATCCAACGCAATCATAGGTTTGAACGTTGTTTTCAATTTAGACTTTTTATATATATATATATAGTCATTAAAGTAGTAGGTAATTGACAAGTTGCCGAAAAAGTAAGGTATCAATCCGACTGGTTAAATCCGCTGTGCCATAATAGGAAGGCAATTTTTCTATATCATTTATTTATTTTGCCCATTATTATTTTTATTTTAGCGACCTGTATTTCTGTATTCTTTATTTTTTGCCATTTTTTTTTTTTTGCATCCCCCCAACCATTTTGTAAACCCCACCCATACCCTCTCGTGGGGTGTTACTTCATAAACGTTAAAATAAAAAAAAACAAACACATTTTAAAAAGGCTGCATGATTGTGATTTGATGTCTGGCAAATCGTTTCATCTGAAAGAGGCCGTTTCCTGAAAATCGCAAAGCAATTAATTATAGTTTCCTAGAACGACGCTGAAAATAAACAATCTAAAAGACAGCGTTTCCTGTGATATTTTTCAAGGGGCATTTATAAGCAGATCAAATTAATGTAAAGATATATGTTACAATATAATAAAAGAAGGGTCAATAAATGGTTTAAAAACTGGCTTGATTTAAAAGTTTTAAAAAGCTCCATACAAAAGAAATACATTCTTGTGTTCAATAGTTTACAGTGTTGCGTTTGTGGTATCGTTTACGACTTGATTAGGAAGCAACCATTTAACTTTAACAAAAAAGGGGTGTATGTTTTTTGTATGAGTCAGAAAATTTTCAATTTTATTTAGTTTTGCAACGCTATCATTGTCAGTATCAATCAAACTATTTTTTTCAATATTTAACACTATAAAGTATGGGGAAAATTTGGATTCAGAATACATTATTTTTGTTATTTGCTTGACCAGAATATTTTGTTCATCAAAATGGGGATCAGAATAATTTTTTTTGAAAAAAAAAAACCCCATAACCCCCCGCCTTTGAAGTTAAATGGTCGTTCCCTTAAACACTTTCATAATTCAATTCAATTTAAATATTTATAGCCATATAAACTTTATCAATATTAAGTTTGTGACAAATACAAAATAAGTAGACAACACAACTAAAATTTACGTTACACAATCATTACATTCAGTGGCTGATCCAGAACTTTTTATAAGGGGGGACCACTGACTGATCTAAAGGGGGGCCCGCTCTAGTCATGCTTCAATGATTCCCTATATAATCAATCAAATTTTTATCACAAAAGGGGGGGGGGGTGGGTCCCGGACAACCAGCCTACCACCGCTGGATCCGCCTATGACATTCATAACTTTTTTTTATCAATACAACTTATCGCTATTCTCGCTTGACCCGAGAATCTGTCCCGCTTGAACTTTTGACGTCATACAACAATCACTTTTCCATTGTGGCGTCAGATATTTTCTATTATGACGTCAAAATTTTACGGGAACTTTTGTGATATCCAGTAATGGCGGACAAATAGTGTCTCATGAGATACAAGATAGAACACCACAAACAGCACGTTTGAAGCATTATCCATCCTCATCCTCAACAAAAATCGGAAAGCAAGCATTACACTTATCAGAAAGCAACCGATACCGTCGAATGAATCGGTAAGCTAGCGCTCTGAGACTGAATATAGACAGTGTAAAGATTCTGTAAATGGATCAAGAAGATGTCAGTGACACACAAGCATATTTTGATAAACAACTAGCTTATTTTTCTTTTAAATGTTGACTTATTACGTACAATAAACATATGAGATACGATACCTGGCATTTCTCCATCTTGATTCAAGAAGCCCGCTCTAAAAAACACAATTTCCAAAAAATCAAACACTGTAACGTTAGAAAGTAAGACTACGTCACTCTGGAATTTGTGTAGTTGAAGTGCAGTGATTCACGAATAATAGAGAAATCTTTGTAAAATATAATAAGAAAAAAATGTCAATTCTAATACACTTAATTTAACTGATTATACTAAATTCATCAACACCAAATGATATAAAAACAGTTGTTTCTTTTATTAAAGAGTCGTAAAAATTACAACTGAGGAAAGGAGACCAATAAATGTTTTAACTATATTATAATTGTCGAGTTTTTTCTTATGTTTGTTTTGTCTCTGTATTTGCTATAACCAATATTGTTTTTTGTTTGTTTCGCAAAAAAAAATAAATTATTATTATATGTTAAACGATCTGTAATGGCATAAGACGTATGTCTTGACATATTTTAAGCACCCTATCCACAACATTGTGAAAAGATCTAGCGAGGCGAACAAAATTTGGACGATTTTATACAGTATGATTTTATAAATATCATGAGAAAATGTGCATATTATTTTTCAAGGGGGAGGAGGGAGTAGACGCCCCTCCATCCTGGAACCGCAAAAGGATAGCGGTGTTTAATCATGAAACACCTATTTATAATATGAAATTATAATATTTCTACTGGACAATAAAAAGCAAAAACCAATCAGTCAATCAATCAATTCATTGATATCCGTAAATTGATTTAAACTTTACTATCGATTTTTTTTCTCCAAATTTGATCACTTAAAATTCAGAAGTTGAAAAAATGAAAATATAATGGGCCCTGGCAGATTTTAGAAATAAATATTCTGGCCCCAATTAACCTGGAAATAAATCAAGAATCTTGCCTCATCGCAAATAGTCTGGCCCAAAAATTTCAAGATCATAATGTCCAATTTCATTTGGATCGCTTCCCTCCTCAAATTTACAAAAGTATACAATTGAAACAGAAGAATTGTTATGCTAGTATATTTTCATGTCTCAATAAATTGTAAATTTAGACTTCATTTTGACTGCTTCTATTTTTATAGTTTGTTTCTATCATGCCAATGATATTATCTTCATCATAAAAGTTAAATCATTTTAGGGGACGCGCATTTCATTCTGACAAGGGAGAGTTTTTGTCTGAGTCATTGTTTAATGAATAGAAAATAAACATCACTGGCCCTGGTCCGAATTAGAAACAAAATTATTCTTGTCGCTTTTAAGTTGTAAATAAATATTCCGACCTCATCAAATGTACCTGGCCCCTCCCTTCAGAATTAAATGGTCATCCCCTAAGACAATACACGAAAGGGGAATACAATAATATTTACTTTACATTAATGAAAATACAATTGCATGCATAAGTGATTGTTGATATAAACAGTAGAAACAAATATATCAATGGAAAAATACATTTAACAGTTGGGAAATATCACCTAGATGGGTATGCTCCTTCTTTCTTTCGATTTCATTTTTTTTTTTTCAATTAAATAATATTTGTTGAAAAACTAAAAGCAATCAATCAATATCAGTGTATATAAAGTGCAAATCCAGTTAGTTCATTTTATGTCGTATGCGAGTATGTCTATTGTAGAATAAAGGATGATGGGAAAAACTGCGTTTGTTTACTTTTTGAAAATACAAAATAATTGATTTGAAAGTATGTTTTAACACAATTTCATTAGAATATACCTTTTTAATATATAAATACAGGATTAAAGTCCAAAAAAGTGTAATTAAAGCAGCTGAATCAATAATATTGATTACTGAATGCGATTCATTTTAACTATATATGCGATGTATTATCACTGTAAGTGCGATCATTTCTAATGTGGAATTTTTAGAGGTGCGATGAATTTTCATTGTTGTTTTATATGATAATTCGATAACAACAACTGAAAATAGTCTTTTAACGACTTTAAATTTACGATATATAAAATTTCAAACGAAAGATAGTCGTAGATGCTTTAAGTTACTTGAATATACACAGGTATAACCAAGGTACGGTTGATTCCGAGCATAGTGCGTTGTGTACCGTTCATAGATTGTTTTTTTCTGTACATCTGTTCCGTGTTTTCGACATCGAAAACAAAATTAGCTGTTTCTATTTAAATACCTATCTTTTATTTTTTGTAAGCAAGCATTTGAAACTACTAAAATTATTTGACATTTTTAACATTTCAAGATTCAAACAACATGGATTTTGTATTTGTTTGGCGTGAAACAGAACTTACTGGACTAGAGAAGCCCACTTCGACTATATTGACAGGCTTTTGGACAACGAACAGTACAAGAATGTACAATGACCGGTACTTAAGAAAGCAAACAAACTACATAGAGAATGAATCGTACAGTGCCAAAATTTTGAGGTCAGTTTTTCAAGTAAATGTCTGCAAATAAAATAAAACAATGGGTTTCTAATTCGCATTATGTATTTTAAACAACAACAAATCACAAAATAAACGGTCAGGTTCTATTTGTAGTTTAATCGAGTTTGAGTTATACAGAGTGTTTGTTTCGCGATGTTTACAAGTAATTCACAGACCTGTCTATTTAAAATATAGTCACATGGTGTTCATGTAACATACATAATATACAATGCTGTCACGATTGAAAGAGTGGTAACGTTTTCATCTCGCACAAACATTTGCCTTACATTTGACGCTTGGATGACTGGATAATTGATATTTCTCATGCAATTGTGTATGTACATCTTTTACAGTAAAGAAAGTTCGAGCAACTTTGTTTTCATCAACATTGAATATTAACTAAACAGTTCGTCAATTAGTCTTTGGTGTAAATATTAGGATTGTCTATCTACCAACATAGCTTCTCAATGCAGCAATTAACGTCCGAAATCAACTGTACGGCGGTTATACCCCGTGGTATAGAACCATTTAAACATGTAACAGTAAACTGTATTCAATATATCCTTTCATCCTGCAATCAGCTAACTATTGTACAAATAACAAGTACACAAATAAATTTTTGCTTTATTTGTACTTGTACAAATAAAGTCTCCTGTTACCCCGTTTCCATGTTGAGCAAGCGGTAACGTGGATATTTCTTTATGCGCCCAAGTTCATTTTGTGGTCCTCTTCGCTGTCCGCGTTTAAACTATGTCGATTTCTTTGAAAAATTTGAGACAATGATTTAGATTTTAACAACTAAAGTTTCAAGTGTTGGGTGTAAATTTCAGGATAAAAACAATATATGTACATTGTCGGAAAATATAAAATTTGTTTGTACTCGCTACGAGACAGGAGAAAAGCTCGGCGAGCCTCGGTTTTCGTCCTGTTTCTAAAGCTCATACAAATAAATTTTATATTTTCCGACAATGTACATATATTGTATATGTTTTCTTACACTTACGTGCTTATTTGTTTATTTGTAACAACGATTTATAAGAAATCCAAACATAAATTAAGGCGACTGGATTGTTGCTCGAACTTTCTTTACTGTAAAAGATGTATACACAATTGCATGAGAAATATCAATTATCCAGTCATCCAAGCGTCAAATGTAAGGCAAATGTTTGTGCGAGATGAAAACGTTACCACTCTTTCAATCGTGAAATGAGGATCGTTTTGCGAATGTTCTATGTTATCTAAGATGCATCAATTAGAGCTATTTTCCTAATGCTTGTAGTTTAAAGGTTTTGTTTGTTTTGTTTCTTTGGTTTGTTTTCTTGCTTTTTATAAATGTTTGCTCTGTCTTAATTACAATGCTTAAGCAAACATTAATACAAACAAAGCAAGAAAGCCAACCACACCTTTAAACAACAAGCATTTGGAAAATAGCTCTAAGGACGTTTTATTAGTATGTGATATAGATTTAGACCGAAACCGAAAACTTTTCGGTGTAGTGGATTGACTTAACTGTCCAAGATACATATATATATGTATTCAATGATGGCGTGTCATAGTAAAGGATAAATTTTATCTTACATATTGATCTGGAAAAATTATTAGAGAAAGTAGAATTGACTATATTAGCAATAAATGCTATTTTAACGGAAGTTATTGATATTCTGTATTACCTCAGACTTTCACTCACAAAGTTGGCATATATAATCAATCATTCTGTCTTCATCAATTTTGTTAGAGAGTCGGCTGAATTAAGACTTTATATGATGAAAATTAATTATTTCCTTCTTTGAAAATGCATCGCATGTACAAAAGAAATGAATCGCCCTACAGTGAAAATGAAAGTCTATTATCATTATTCGACAGTAAACATGAATCGCATAACGAAAACAGCATAGTGGAATTTAATTTAATATCAACAAGTTGATTAACAAAACGTGTTTTAAGTTATACAACATTTATTTAATAATTATGTTAAAAGGTACAGTTTTCTGCAAATGAAACTTAACTGCTGCTTTTCAATCTCTTGCACGGTCTGTTAGTGAAATATTCTTAATATTTGCCTATTTTAGTAATGATTTCACAATTTGATCGGTGTATGTGCCATATAAACCCTTCTGTATCTCTTACCTATATGGTTCTATATCACAAATGAATTAAAACAATCCATTTGATATATTATTTATTATTTTATCTCAAAATCATAAAATTTTCGTCTGTTTATTTATCATTCTACATCAGAAATTCATGGCATATACAGTGAAAATGGTATTTCAGGATTCGCATTTTACATACACTGAATATAAGAAAAAAACCAATATGCTGGTGTCCTTTGCGTATTTTGTAGTTTAAAAATAAGTAGACGTTGTATATGATTGCCAATGAAACAACTCTCGACCAGAGAACAAATAACGTAAAAGTTAACAACCATAGGTCACCGTACGGCCTTCAACTATGAGTAAAACCCATACCTCATAGTAAGCTATTAAAGGTCGCGAAATGACAAATGTAAAACTGCTACAATTCAAACGCGAGAAAACTAACGGCCTGATACATGTATATGTACAAAATAATAAACGAATTTGAAAAACAAATATGATATACATGCAGCAACAAACGACAACCACTGAATTACAGGCTCCTAACTTAGGATATGTCCGTTTCAAGTCTATGTTGTTGGTAACATA